AGCACTGTTTAATACCAAAATTAATTTCTTGAGTAAGCATGTGCTTCGATGACTGAAAGAACCAAAGAAAAAACCTAGTTTTATATTTGTGCTCGAAAAGAATACTACTACTTTCGATAGTTTATGCACGAATTACTACTAAAATTAAGGTAATTTTTTTAAGCCTTTACACAATTCTGGTATTTCCGATACCTAAGCTGAAGCCATCAAAAATTAAAAAAAAAATCTTAACCTTGCTTTGAACGTGATATTTTCGTTTCGTTTATCTTTCGGCAAGGAACCGACAATTTAAGTTGGCATTGACATCTTCAAGGTATGAGAAGGCATCTATAAACACCCGCATATGAGCTAAAGTGCATATGTATGCCTATAAATGTACATACATACATATGTGTGTAAGCCACTTTAGACACATCGAACCTTGACGACCCACTGTCACTGTGACCGCATTACACGCAATCACGTACAGATAAAACGCGCAGCAACAACAACAGCCGCGTAACCGGGCGGCTTTGCACGTGAGAAAACTTATTGGTTAAAAACCAGCAACACAACACAAAATAATAAAACAAAAACAAACGACTTTTTTATGTGAAAATTATCGCAACCAAACGCATGCGATCTGCATGCTGGGAAATTTTCTCGAAAAAATTAAAAAAAAAGCAAACAAAGTCTGGTATTAGGGTATTACATGGCTCGAGTGCAATGCGACTGAGCGAATGGCTGGGGCTGGTATGAGTTTGACCTTGCAAAGCCTGCAATTTAACTTTGTTAAGTATTTTTTTTAGTTGACGTGCGCTCTTGCCCATATAAAAAAATACATTTCTACTTTAGAGCTGAGTAAGCTGAAGGATTCTTGCTTAGCTTTCCCTTGAACTTCTGTGCTACTCTTTTGCTCTGACTATTACTTCCTCACTCCTCTCCTTCTCTAACTCACTCACTNAATTAAAAAAAAAGCAAACAAAGTCTGGTATTAGGGTATTACATGGCTCGTGTGCAATGCGACTGAGCGAATGGCTGGGGCTCGTATGAGTTTGACCTTGCAAAGCCTGCAATTTAACTTTGTTAAGTATTTTTTTTAGCTGATGTGCGCTCTTGCCCATATAAAAAAATACATTTCTACTTTAGAGCTGAGTAAGCTGAAGGCTTCTTGCTTAGCTTTCCCTCGAACTTCTGTGCGACTCTTTTACTCTGACTATTACTTCCTCACTCCTCACTCCTCTCCTTCTCTAACTCACTCACTCTCTCTTACTCACCGCTTGCGCTTGCGTTATCTCATTCACATTTGTCTCAAAGTTCCATTGCGCTGCCACATTTGCTGTACACTCCAGCGATCCTTTGTGATCAGTCTCGACCAGCAAATTACGCAGTTTCTCCAATTCAATTTGATAGCGGCGATCTTGTTGGAAACGTTGCCTCTCAAAGTAACGATCATTATTCAAATTAAAACGATCTTGATTTGGACGGAAAGGATTCTCAAAGCGACTACGATCATTGTTATAAGGATTATTCGGATTGAAGGGACTATTTGGTTCAAAATCGCTTCCAACTGGTGGTTGATTTCCATTAAAGCGTGCGTTGTATTCATTAGTTGGATTGTTGAAGCGATCTTGCTGGCGATCATCAAAACCATCTGCATACCGATTGTTGTTATTGAAGCGATCACTTGGATTATCATAATTATGATTGGGGAAACGATAATTATCGCGTTGCTGTTGTCCTATATTATTGTTATTGTAGTCAGAGAAGGGTGAATCAGCGACAGGGCGTGTAAAGTTCGGCTGCCTTGCCGGATAGGCATAACCGTAGCGCATGCGCTCATCGTACGTCTGGCCGTTCTGTTGAAGAGAGTAGTTTTTGTAAAAGAAAGTTGTTTGAGTAAATTTATGTATACATATATATGCATTAGCTATTTACTCTAAAATCATCAGCGCCATCATCATTCACTCCATCGATGGAGTATGGTGGCCCATAACGTTGACTGCGATCCAAATCGCCTAGCGTTTGTTGTGGACTTGCTGGTGTTCTAGGTGTGAGCGCATTGTAGTAGAGCGTTGGATCCTGCGTGTCTGGATTTAGAGGTGGCAGATCGAGTTGTGGCTCTGCTTGCACCGCAAGTGCTGAATGCAGTAGGATAGTAAAAATGCTTAGGGCGGGTTTGTTGATTATTTTCGCCATATTTTGGTTTCATGTAACACTACAGTGGTAGTCAAACTTCTTTAAAATAGTGAACTTTGACTGGATGTAAACTGAAGTATTTGGATTGACTTTTTTATACGACTAGCAGTTTTTTTTATTTTAGTTTTGTTTATGTTTTGTTTTTTGCGTTAAACTTTCAATACGATCACTTTCAAACTTTTTTTTAAATTCTTTTTGGTATAAAAATTTCACTCACTTTATTAAACGTAGATTGCTGCTCCAACTAAATATTAGCTAAGATTAGTAGTTTGCTTATCGCTGTTATTGTACTCCTTTTTATATTTATTTATTATATATTTATTTTATATTATTTGGAATAATTTAAATCATTCGTTTTTTTTCTAATTTGGATTAAAAAAAAAATTATTTTTAACACAATCATCTTTTTTCACCCACAAGAAGCTAGATTATAAGAATATATGTATGTATGATAGATACACTAGATAGTAAAAAAGTGGGGTAGTGTTTCGAAAATGTGGATCAAAGGGTTCATGATTACACCCTTTTCACGTTACAAGGGCAGGTGTAGGAAATCCATTGAAAAAATACCGCTATGGAACTTCCAGGGTCTAAGAAGTTTATAATTGTACCGCCTTTCATGAATTCTTTAGGATATAACGGTGATTTTAAATTCATTTTTTTCGAATCTCTTAACAAACGATCATCATCACTAGGCTGGATCCTAAGGGACCTTTCTTTGGAAATGAGTTATTTATTTTTTTTCCACAATAATTCCGGAAACTTAAAAACCATTCCGAGATCATTTCATTCGTAAATTTCAGCAGTCTTCTTTGATTTTCTTTGATTTCATATGTTTATTGTATTGTTTTATTCTATGTTGTTTCATTTTGTGTGTGTGTGATTTATCTGTGTTGTTTTATTTTTTGTTTTTTTTTTTTTATTCTTACTTCAGTAATTACCTTTACTTTCACTTTTCATTTCGTTATTGTTTTATTAAAGTGATTGTATTTATTTATTTATTTTCATTTTACTTCATTAAATTAACGGCACTCCTAAATTTGTATATTTGCATTGTTGAGAATGTGTGTTTTGCTTAAAAATTACTTATTTTATTTTATTTTATTATATTCAGTTGTTTATTTTTTAACCAATATGTGTTTAGCTTAACTTTTCCTTTTTTTGTCTTAGTTTTGTTTCCACTTTACTTCATTAAATGAACGATACTAATAAATTTTAATAAGAGCATTGAAAGTGGTTGTGTTTTCTACATAAAAATTACTTTTATTTTTATAGTTATTTGATTTATTTTATTATGTTTAATTAAATCTTTTTTTTTATTCAATTTTAATCTTTAATTTTATATTTTGGTTTTATTTAACTTTGTCTTTTTTTTCTTCATTTTTATTTTTATATTGCGTCTAGTTTTTAATTTTTTTTAATTTTGTTTTTTTTTATATCGCTTGTAGTTTTGATTTTATTATATCTAAATACTTCATTTTATTTCCTTTTTAATATTATTGGATTTTGTTTAATTTATTTTTTCTCTTTTAATTCGTTATATTTATTTTATTTTATTTGTTTTTGTCCACTGCCAAGTCAAGAGTTAAAATCTTATTTCTCATACCTTTATTAATTCTCTTTTTAACCGACTTCACAAACAGGAGGAAGGTTATCAATTCGTCGGAATAATTTATTTTTTTATTTTATTTTTTTTATGTATGTTACCGCATACGTTAACCGATTTATATAATTCTTGTTTTAAAGGAAAGGTGTTACCTCACAGGTGGCCCCATTTTAATTTGGTTTAAAACCGATCATGATCATGAAGAGATTAACGATAATCTTAAACTTTAATATAAGAATTGAAGTCGGTTTTGTTTTTTGCTTAAAAATTACTTGTTGAATTTAATTTTTTATATCGCTTTTAATATTTCTTGTTTTATCTGTTTCAATTTATTTTATTATATTTTCTTATTATTCTTTTACTTAATTTTACTTTATTTTATTTTATTTTATTTTATTTTATTTTATTTTATTTTATTTTATTTTATTTTATTTTATTTTATTCTCCAAAAATGAAGTTTTTTATGAATAAAAATAGTTATGAATAAAAATAGTTTCTAAAATCCCCTCAAATGGCAAAACGGTTTAAGCATAAAAAATTTACTTAAAACATATAAAAAAAAAAATAATAAAATTGAACGGAATCATAATAATGAGATTTTGATGCTGTTTTTTTTAACTTTTTTCAAAGATTGGTATAGAAACTAATCTGACCTAAACTCCTTCCGATTTAGACTTAGGAGGTGTCATTGGAAAGGTATTTTCTCACCCCTTTTATTTATTTGCTAATAAACTCATTCAAAGGATGAAAGAGAAAGGTAGGATGAACGAACGACATTCAAAGCTGAATTAAGATGTGTTGGTATTTGAAACAAAAAAAAAAAAATAAAAAATTAGACACGACTGACTGTTTTTTGAACAGAAATAAAAACATTGCTAAAATACCTTTCTACAGTTTTTCGTAAATCAATCTTTGAAAAAAGTAAAAAAACAGCATCAAAATCTCATTATTACGATTCCGTTGCAAAATATTTTAAAATATTTTTATGCAGATTTTCTAGGCCTAATCTGTTTTGTCATCTGAGGGGACGTTTTTCAAAAAGTTCTTTAAGAAACTATTTTTATTCATAAAAAAACCATTTTTGGATGTATTTTCAAATCGGTCCAGCTGCTTAAATAACTTAATATTTTCCCGAAATATTTCGGTGAGTGTCTTAAAATATTTAAAATAAATTTTGTAAGCCCAGTGGAAAACCGCATTTTCGTTTGGTGATGCAAGTTTAATGTACATGTTTTCAGTAATTATAAATAATTGGGCTCACATCAGAAGCAGAGGATCTTAATCTAAACTGCTAAACTGTATATTGTATTCTATAGAAATGTATATGTATGTATGTACCTACATCACATATGCATACCTAGCTCATTAAGTTAAAGCAACAAATTTTACTTCCGAAGTTCAACATATGTACACATATGTAGTTATGTATCCAAACCATACTATATTTATCACTTTCGATGCCCAATAAAATATGGCTTTTATGCATAGTCGTAGCTTATAAAAAACCCTGACGGAACTGCATTTTGGCACAAATTGTTTAACTATTATTATCACCTGAAGCTAAAGTAAAGCGCTTAATTATCGCAGAAGCGTTAAAAGGAGTACATATTTGTTGTAGTTCAAATTGTAAGGCGTTTACTCATTAAAACTAAGTTTTCAATATATTCAAATANACATGTATGTATGTATGTATGCACATACATATGTATATGAGAAACACCTGCAGTTCGCAAAACATCATTTTCGCATACACACACGCACCACTTGTGTCTGTCTGCTGCTGTCTGGCTTTCACTCACTGGGAACTGATTAAAGCCACCCACCGAACTGGAAATGGGCGCTAAGCGCAAACGCAAACAAATATTGAAGCCTTACTTACATATGTATCTACATAGTATGTATGTATGAATGTTCGTATGTGCGGTTTGTTTGTAATTGCATGTGTGCATGCGAACATCATTTTATTTTAACTAAGTACTTAATTTTAAATTATACTCATATGTAATTTATGTTCTTTATTGTACTAGCTGCTGTTGTTTTTTGATGATCATTTTTAAAACAACCTTTTGACTACGTGTTTTTGAAGTAAGTACATACTGTATGTACATAGAGGAATTTACCTGTTTTTGTTTTTATAAAAAACAATTTTTTCCTTAACTACTCACTCATAGCTGTCGTGTTTTAAATATTTTTATGTGAAATTTGCTTTTGTGTGACCCGATCTAGTTGTTGTCAATTCTAGGTTGGCGTTGTTGTTGCTGTTAAGCGCGTATTTCAGTGCTAATTTTGATTATCTCATGCCAGTACATGCCGCACTTACACCTGTATTTATGTACAACACATACATACATACATAATCATACTACGTCTATATAGTCAATGTTTATATTTATGTGATGTATTGCGGTGATGTTGTGTGTTATTGTTATCGTCGACTGTCGCCACCACCAGCACACGCCTAGCTTTCATTGCTGCCACATTCTCGCTTTAGTCGCTACGCTGCCGCGCGTGTGTGACGTTACAATTTAACTATACAAATTTTTCCCCTCTGAACTTAAAAGTAAAAAATGCAAAAAAAAAAACTTTTGTTTTCTAGACATTTGAATTTTTTTTGTTTTTATATTTTTGCGATTTGTTCTTATGTGCAAAGTTAAGATTTGTAATTTGCGCCCACTGAAGTTTGAAGTTGTTCAGTAGTGTACGAGACGCGCTGCTAGACGTTGTGCTTCGCTTAAAGTTTAGAAAAAAATTCAATTTCCATAATTAAAATGAGCACCGAATTTTCCTTAATAAATTAAAAGTGTGCAACAAAGCTAAGCAGCTGCAGTAAAGTTTTAAATTGTTTTAAATTTTTTTGGAAATTTCAAATTCACGTACTTTGAGACAGTTGAAGGCACTGTCTGTAGTTCAGTGAGGATTTTTTGTGTTCCGCTTTAAGGATTTTTGCCGTTATTTTCAAACGAAATACTTAATTATTAAAACTTTGTGTGAAAAAAATGTAAGGATATAAAAAACGTTAGAATCAAAAATTTCTAAAATAAATATTTTATTAGACGTGTGTGCATCGCAAGGGATTTCTGAAAACGGAAAATTTTTTTTATTCAAATTGTGCAGGAAAAAGTGCAAGGAAACGGTACAGGGATAAAGAAAATAAGTATTTTATTTTTAAATCTAGTTACTTGTTTGTAAAATAAAACATTTTATATTTGAAGCAGCAACAGATGTTGAATGATTTTGAGGTAAAAATTGCTTTGAATATTTATGAAAAAAAAAAAATAATATTTAAAAAAATTACTAAAGAATTAAATAAAAATATCTATGTATATCGTTACACAAAATAAAAGTGAAAGTTTCTTACAAATGCAAACAGCAATGTGAGCAAATAAAACCATAAAGTGAAAACTTAGTTTTTAAGATAAGTTTTGTGCAAACACATCCATACATACGCATGCTTGTTTGCTGTTTACGTACAAGGTCTTGTCATCACAATGACAAATAATAAAGGTGTGAGAAATACATTTTAACCTTCGACTTGCCAATAGACCAAAACAAATATAATAAAACGATAAAGTAAAAAAATACAAACACAAATAAAAAATAAAATAAAATAAATAAAATAAAATAAAATAAAATAAAATAAAATAAAATAAAATTAAAATAAAATAAAATAAAATAAAATAAAATAAAATA